ATTAAATTTCAAGCATTACTGTCAGTCATTTTTCAGCCATGTTCCTTTTTGCAAAATAAATTGTGAACAAGGAGAGCAACCGCTTCCTTTCTCACTGCATCTTTAAAGCTCAACCATACCTCCTCCTGTTTGCACTATACTAACTGTGTATCCCTGATGTAACCCTGAGCCTTCCTCCTGAAGGCAAGAAAAGATGCTGCTTTTCTGCCCTTTGGGCCAGGGCACTAAACTAGTGGGAGTGCTAACTTGTTTCAGTCTATAGGAGAAGATTCCAGTTCAGGTGGCATGCTGGAATGGATCCTTTCTTATTTATCATTGTGGGAGAAACACATTAGACCTATATGGTGGGGGGAGGAAATCCAGGCTTGGTAAAAGATAATGAGATCTGTGTAACAATTATATATAGTTTGATATTTGAAATAACATCGAATGAGCAAATCTTTCACATGAAAAATCACTAGCAGATTTAAAAGTTTGTGGGAGCAAATTCTCTTCAGATCCTCTACATTTTATTTTCCATAACCTCGAATACTGCTTGCATGGTTCAGTTTTAAGTTTTTAGTTGGTTCAAAACAGCAGGTGGTTGTTTGTCTTTGTTTTCTTTCTAACATTGCTAAATTCTTGAATCATTGATAGTTTATTGAACATAACCTTTTCCCTTCTGGACTTTTTTCTGATAAAGGCTTTGCAGGAGCTACAGTACTAGACATTCCACTAATGTCTGCCTTAGGGTTAGCTAATGTTCCTCACCTGTCTGAGCAGGCTTTCAGTACCGTCTTCTTTTAACTGACTTTACCTTGGCTGGGTTTTTGTTCACTGCCTTCCTAGCTGGGCAGATTTTTCAGGTTTTCCCTCTCTCCCAAGGATGTTTTTGTGTGGGAAAATTTTCAGGTGTGTTTCTGCAGAAGGGCAGCTGCCACTGAAGACAGGACTCCTCTGCTAACAAAACCTAAACTGGAGGGAAGAAACAAAAGCTGCTGAAAATACCTGAGCTCAATCTAAACTAATTAGTTGTAACATTTCAGCAAATACAATGTTGGTAAAATAAATTAGTTTACTACCACTGCTAGCAATGAAGGAAATGCTGGGTTAAAAGGGGTTGGAAGCGTGGATCGGTCACATAGCTAGTGTAAGAATTACCTGTTGAAGGTCTGGGATGTGGAGTTTTGTTTGTTGGCTCATTTAGTGTGGTGTCTTTTGTTTTGGGTTGTTTGGGTTTTTTTGTTTGTTTGTTTAAAAACTGCGAATGGAAGTTGGATTGTCATAAAAGTAAAGCAAATGACCGCTTGATATGGTAAGCTAAAAACTAAGGCCGTACATATACTTTTGAAGTGAAGCAATCTTGTACTGAGAAATGACTGTGTTGTATTTGATAAATTTACAGTTCCTTGCATAGGTATTTCAAAGCTTTTCACTGGTGCTTTTTAAAGTGGGGGGTGTTGTCCTGTTGGGTATGAGGAGAAGACTGCATGTCAGCGCTAGGACTTCTGAGCTTTTTGAGGAGGAACATTCCAGAATGTTGTACACTCTTAGCAGTAATGGACTTTCATTTTCTTGATGTGAAAGAGTCTCATGTTAACATTAGAATCTATGGGGACTGTGGTATATTTTGTTGCACAGTCTATAAGCAGTATACTGAAGAAATTTCACGTTTTGAGTGCATGTCAAGTTTTTATGGGACACTCGCCTGTTTTGGAAGGCTGTATTACTGTTTTTTCCTTATGTTTTTCCCCAGATCTAGATATGTCCTTTACTTCTAATCTTTTGTTTGGCACACAGCTGTGCTGCAGAAGCATTTCAAAACTATTAATTCTACAGCCCCCCTTCTGGGGAACAAATGTGTCCTTATTCACATATGAGAAAATCTTAGCTCTGCAAATGTCACAGGAAGAACCTTATTGTCCTTGATGGAGCCAGTCTAATGATGTAACCATAAGAAAGTAATTTTAAAAACTTTAATACTAGTTCCCCAAATTTAAAACCAACCAACCAAAAAACAAACAAAAAGAACCCCCCACCATACAAAAAAACCCCAAACCCAGATCTGTCCCCCCCGCCCCAAACTAAAAAACCAGCACAACCAAGCTCTTCAACACACATGCATGCAGTTTTAAATGGACAAATGCTCAGCTGCAATTATATGATGCATTTTGACTCTTTATAAATCCTGTCCCCACTTGGGTAGGAGTGCTTTTGCCATTAAACATTCAGCAAAACCTGGAGTGCTTTACTGAAATGGGTTCTGCATGAGCATGCCACTTGAGAAACTTGGCTTTCTACACTTCTGCCAAAATTGCATCATGCAAGGGGTCTGCTTGTGAAATGACATTGTTTCTCAGGCAGAGTGGCAGTTTTACACCTCAACAATAACTGGAATTGTAGAAATTGGGTGGCTTGGGGCTCCCTGAGTGATTTTTCGGAGGACTGTGTAGTTGACGTCGTCAGCCCTGACGTGTGGTCTTTTCCTGTGCTTCCGTCCTTGCCCCAATACCTTGGAGAAACACTTGGCAACTCTTACAACAGGAGCCAATTCAGTTATTTATTTTTTGTTGCTTCAGAGGGATAAGAAGAGTTTAATAGTTTTCCATCAGTCACTAGTCAAATATTACACCTAATTTGTTTTTTTATTATTAATATACAGTAATATTGATAGATAATTTTAACTTGCCTGTGTTGTGAAAATAACTTTTTTTTAGAAGTGGAGCCTGTGTGTGGCAGCATCAGCCAACTGCATTGATGGTGTCCTATTTCTTCATGTTCTCCATGTCCCCAGGAATAGTAAGAATTGACCATTTTACAATTGCTGAGATAAAATAAACTGATCTAAATTGGAGAGAGAGATTATATTGACAACGCCGGCCTCCAGAACGTGCTTGATTGCAGTCCCCCTGTGGCTACATCAGCTTATCGACCTGTAGGCTATCTGTCCATTTTATGTGAGTCAGAAACCAGGGCAGTTTATTGGAGGCTGTGGTCCAAAGCTCAGGCTCTCCTATGTCATTGTCAGACGGGATTATTATTTTAGGGGAGAAAAAAAAAATTGTTGAAGGGTATGGTGGCTTATTTCTTGTAAAATCCTCAATTCCACCTGCATAAGTCACTGGCTGTTTGAACTCTAAGGGTGGTGTTTCTTCTCAATTGTTCAAAACATCATAACTTCTTTTTGAATTAATCTTGGAGCTCTCAGCTGTGCAAACACGCATTTGAATAATGTTTTAATTGTTGTATGTTCCTTTGTGTTTTCTAATTGGAAAATGAGAATTTAAACCTGTTGATTTCAGCTTCAGATTTTCAAAAATGTCATCCTACCTTGGCCATGAGCGGTGACGTTGTTGGTGCTTTCCAGAACTTTGCTGTCAAATAGTTTAGCAACCATAGCTCAACCCTATGTGATGCTCTCCTGGAAACAAAAATGATGATAAGAGGAGGCTGTTAAATTGTAATAGAGTCCACTGTTGTGTCTTATGATTATAGGTTAACTTTAAATAAGGGAAACACTTCTTTTCCTTTGAAAGAGTAGACTGCTGGGCTGTCTAGCATGTAGTTTTCACATCTTGTACTGTAGCTAAAGGGAGAAAGTGTGTGTGTGTGTTTACAGACTGCAGAAGGAACCTCTCTGAATACAGGTGATATGCTGAACAGAATTTCTGAATGAGGTTTGGTGGTTTTTTTTTTTAATTACCTTTTTGTCCCATAAACTATTAGGTATCAAAGTTCATAGGGTTGTGGACTGCTAAGAACTAGGCAACAAAGTCAAATAATGTTCAAAAGATCCTTGGACATTAATAGTTTGAAGTACTCTGGGACCTGTTTCTACTAATCTGTAAGTTAAAGGAAATCTACAGCTTTTACTTTTTAAAAAAAATAATCTGCTACATTGATTTTAAATATATTATCACCTCCCACTCTCTCCCGTCCTCCTCCACTTCCCTCTCCCCCAAAAACTCCCAGCAGCGGTTAGAAAATTTTAGGTAACTTCTCAGAATTTAGAGGATAAAATCAACATATTTTTGTTGGCATTGTGATATGTTTGAATGTCAGTGGTACTGGCATGGGAGTTTTGTCTTCCTTGTACACTATTGTCCTCCCTCACATTGTTCCCAGTAATTACTGGGATGCGTAGGAAAACGTGGAGGCACACAGCTGTCTTTATGCGGCTGACAAATAGCTTTGGGAAAGATCGTTCTTGTTACAGGTAAGTAAAAAAAGACAACTCATTCAGTCTTAACAGAACTCTGGATAAGTTTCGGGTAGGGAAGAAAAGCAATGCAATCGAGGGAAGTGCAGTGGGTGCTCTTCACCCCACTGTCTCGTGCCCAGCACAGGACTGCGGTGAGCTGGGATCTTCCTGGGAGCAAAGTGGGAGCGAAGTCTTCTAAAATGCAGTCTTGTGCTGCCTGTGCAAAACATTGTGAACAAAGGCTAACTAAAGACAGTACCCTCTTCTTGATCGCAAATTTCCCTGCTGAGTTACATTACTTGAAGTATTTTTAACTTCCTATTAAAAAAAGATGGATAACTTTGTTTAATGTATTATTTTTAAGTTTTCTGCATTTAGTATGAAGATGAGGAACTAGGGCAGAAGGAAAATATATTTTTTGAATGCTGCTATTTTTTTTTTTCTCAGATCAGAACTTTGAATGGCAGATGTAGGATAGTTTTATAATGCTACATGCAAAAACTAAATGGGTTTTATAAATTAGCTTTTGTTAACATATTTCTGAATAATATTTGATATACATTCAGGGGAAGTGAATGTAATACATTATGACTAGAATTTGCTATCAAGGTGTTGTCATGTTTCAGTGGCAGAAAAAGCAAGAAAGGTCAATATGACTTCCCTTATTTTTGAAAGAGGCATTCCAATCTGTGAGGTGTTTCTCTGTATGGCTTTCTCATTTTTCCCTACCCTTCTATTTCAGAAGAACTCAAAGAAAAAAATTGAGTAAGAGTTACATGATATAACTTACTGATGAGCGTGTTTTAATATTTTGTTGCAGAAGGACTCCATGAAAGATGACAGAAGAAGTTATTGTTATTGCAAAGTGGGATTACACTGCACAGCAGGACCAAGAACTTGACATCAAGAAAAATGAGCGTCTTTGGCTATTAGATGATTCCAAGACATGGTGGAGGGTAAGAAACGCGGCCAACAAAACGGGATACGTGCCATCAAATTATGTGGAGCGAAAAAACAGCTTGAAGAAAGGTTCTCTGGTTAAAAATCTAAAAGACACGTTGGGTAAGTCCTTTTGTATTTTGGAAGAACTTTAGTAGACTTGATGGGTTTCAGATTGGGAATTTAATGTTTGTATAAATATTTTTTTTAACATGCTTGTTTGGATTTTCTTAATCCTTAGTTTGAGGTGACATGGTGGGGGAGGGAGGGAGAGTGTGGGGGGAGAATCATGTGGAAAAATCTGTAACGGGTTTTCTCGTATCACATCCAGGAGAATAAGATGTTGGTTTTGTTCCAGTTTGTCAGAGATTGTATGTTTTCAGTGGCTGAAGAATTGTGTTTTCATTGAGATACCAAATGCTGAATCCTCTCCTCACATGCCAAGTCCTCTTGCTCAGAAATAGGATGTAAACTGTATTGTTCAGTGTAGCTATCACAGCAAAGCTAAACCACTTTATGAATGGGATTATATGATGTGGCTATGTGCAATGTCAGGGGTTAAGTTTCTGTGGTCTGAGATGTTCCTTCTGCTTCCAAGTCCTTCGTATGTACTCTGTTTTATACTTGCACATAAATTCTTCACAACAGTATATCATATATAAAAAATAATATACCTTTGAAAAATTTTGAGTGTATTTTGAATAAATGTATTTGGAAGTCAGGTGAAATTAATTCTTTTTTCTTTATTTTTGCAATTACTTTTAGTGACTGCTTAAATTACTTAAAAATAAAGGGCTTTGCATATGGCTAGGAGATGTTAAATAGTGATAAGTGATCATTTTATGTATAGAGGCCAAAACCCCCCTACTAGTGGTATTTTAGGATATAGTGAATAAAACAGAAACAGATATGCACCTGGAGGTGTTTTGAGGTTATTTTTTGCTTGTGTTTTGGTTTTTACCTGTGAAGTCTTACATAGGGAAAACTTACTCTGTTGCAAGCAAAAAAGTTTGCTTAAAAATAAAATGGCAATAGCTCTTATAGGTTTATTGCAGGCGTCCTCTGCTAGTGTTGTGTCTAACAGGTTAGACTTCTTGGTCACTTCTTCATTACTGTATCCTCCACTGCTGAGCTGCCATAAAGTATGTGGAAATTGAGGACTGCAGGATGGGTGGCAAGCAAATAAGGTTATCAAAAGATTTACCATGGTAATATTTAAAACCATAGGCCTCTCTACAGATACTCTTGGAATATACTCATTACAGTGCCAGCAAATGTGATTATGCCTTTTCAAAGATTTGTATAAAGAATAAGCTCCAACATCAATTAACTAGTTAAAATCAAAATCGCAGTTGTGACTTTAAGCTCCTTTTATATGGATTTATGTTGTTTAAAAATATATATTTATGCATAGCCTAAAAGCTACTTTATGAAAGGATTGCATTTCTGTTGTGATAATGTATCAAGTGTTTGTGTAAAATGTGGACAGTATTTACTTGATGTAAACAAACACATTTTTATTTATATCCAACAGAAAAGTGTTTAAGTGAAAGAATAGAGACGTGTCCTAGCATATATGCATGTTTACCTCCTTGATCTTAACAAAGCTGCATGCTGCAGGGTGCTTCGCTTCACTGTGGTGGCGACCGATGAAACGGTGTGAGAGCAAAGCTTGGTGGTTTCATGGCCGAGCCTTTGCTAGTGTTCCATCTTCTAAACCTCAGCCCTTTGCACGCATGTACACAGGTTTTTAAGTTCTGAAGGACCGTTATTACAATCTACTGATTCCCCCGTACCTTTTCTAATAGTTTTCTCTGTGTGTTGTTTGTTCAGCTGAGGCAGAAAATACCACGTGGCAGAGCTTAGCTTTTTCTTTTGCAGTGACCACACGTGCCTGCTAAGCGTACAAAGCACCTCTCATGCTCTTTTATGCTCGTACATCCTGTGACAGTAAGAAACTGCCTAAGCCATACCTAACCCAGAAATTGGCTCAGGATATTCTTAACACCCCCTCAGCTAAACTATATAGTCTTTAAGCCATGTTTGTCTGGCTGTACAGTAATTTCCCATTCAGAACAAGGAGAGCATGTGTCCTTTAGAGGATCCTTTGTTCTGAGCGGCCATCAAGAATGCAATTCTTGGGTGGTTTTTTTTTTTTTTTTAAACAAAGGCTTGCAAATTGCAAGGCTGATGTTTGATCTAGTGAAACAGCTTTTGAAAGTTTTGCTGCACCCAGTGAAACAAGTTCTTAAGTTCTCTTTAAAGAAGTATGTCTAATGTCTCATCAAACATGCCTCTCCTAAGATCACAAGAAAATTCACATTAAAATACCCGCTAACCTAGCACAGGTGGGAATGGCGGTCACGAGTATTAGTCCTTAAACCAAATCTGTTTCTGACTTTGATCTTGAAGCTATTACCAAAATATCAGGTGCTGAACTAAAAAAAAAAAAGTCATTTAATAATCAGTCAATAATTAATCGTAAGTTTTGTGAAATCTCAGGAGGAAAACAGCAGGCTCTAAGTTGCTTCCAGTGATAAAACTAGTGGGCTTTAAAGAGAGGGATGGTCCCTCTGATGTACCTGGACCCACCTTTCATACTTGTGGTGCTCCAGCAAACGGTTGCTCCCATGGAGATGCACTTTTCCCTACCTGTACCTTAATCAATTAGGTTTCCTTGTGTTCAAACATATTTCATCTGAAAGCATTGTTATCGTACAAATGATGTAGTGTATTGTCTGTGTGATTGCCCGTAGCTATCTGCCACTCTTATGCTTATCCACAGTAATTACTGGTGGTTGATTTATACTTACTTCCAGATATTCAATCAATATGAAGAGTGCCAGCCATAGTTCAAATTGTGGCAGACCCTATAAAGAGCTATTACTATTTAATTAATAGTCCCTATAGCTGGCTGTTGAAGATGCATCATCTAGATAGTTCTTAATCCATGTAGCCTGTGTTCTAATGAAAGTTTATGGCACCAGTTAATACATTGGTGTCCCGTTCATAAAAAGCCAAATATACCACGGAAGTTTACTACCTTTTATAAAGTTGCCTTTATCAGGAAAACTTCTAATCTCATCAGAGAATGACGTAATTCCTGTTTGATGCTGAAAACTAATTTTCCTGGAACTCTGTTGACTGTCATTAATTGAATCTCAGCCCTTGAATACTTTATTAATAGAATCCCATCAGCTTTACTGTTTGGCTTGGTGTTGGTGGAAGGTTAATGGGCATGTGGGTACCTAGAACACGCAGCTTGATGGTTTAAAACTTCAGCCTGTTTTCAGCAATGTCTTAAGGCTTCTAGATTTTCCATTGTATTTCAGTGTTTTTGGAAAAGAATATCAGCAAATAAAACGTGTTCAGAGCCAGCTCTTTTAAACGTGTTTTAAACACATTTTGAAATGTGTTGCTGAATTTTTAGCATATGTTCATTAAATCGATTACTTGTGGAGAGAAACAGCTCACCTCAAATCTCAGATGACCCCCAGTAATTTCTGAAGAGATACTTTCAGATCATACTACGTCTTTTTAAAAAACAATATCCTGTTCTGCACCATTCACTTTGTCTTTCCCCTTCTAAGGGCTTACTCTGTTCTACTGTATCTTCTTTTAGTCCTGTCATGAGGGAAATTTTCCAGAACTTTTAGCTTTCCTTAAGTGACTTGGAGACATTTTGAGACTTGTAATTTTTCTGTTGATGGCTGTCTGTTTTTCTGTTTGATATACACTACTTCTGTGTTCTTAAATCTCTTTCTTGAGTGAATTCTAATGGATACTTAGCTACAATGGCCTGGGTTTAATTATGGAAATGTGGTATATAGGCCACCTATTAAGTATTTTAAATGATTCATCTTCTCATTCCCTTTTTTGTCTTAACTGAGTGATACTGTGAGTAAAAAGTTAATGGCAATTTAGGCATTTCAAATTACTGTCTTCTGTTTGCTCATATTGAATGAAATCTGGTAATTATTACTATTCTTAAGGCAAAAGCCAGCTTCCAGGCCTGTGATTAAAATTTCATCTTCATTCATCATAATGAAGTTTAAAATAGTTTCCTTGTACAGTATTTCTTTTGTGGGGAGGGTATTTTTTATGCATTTCGATTAAGCCTTACTGAGCAACAGACCTCCAGCATGCATCTTCCAAACTGTAATTTTCTGTAATGCAATTCTTCCCATGCACGGGGGGTGGGAAGGAATTCCCGTACCCATTTGGATGGATGGAACGGGTGTTTGCCAGCACCACCCCCAGAGCTGCCTCTGAGCACGGCTCCATGGGTTTCCTCTTCTGCAGCAAAGATGATCTATGCTGGCTGGCTCATCTCTGTCACGCTGAACATAAACCTTATCTGAAGGAAGTAAAAATAATTATGAAATCAGTTGTTTGTGTAAGCAAAATAAAACTTCTGCATTTTTTCCATCCCTTTGCAAGTCATTTTCCTGGCAGCAGCACAACTCCCCAGGCAGCAACGTGCCACGGGTGACTGATGCGCGTGATCCAGCAGCAGGGTGCCATTTTCATGGGAATCCATGATTTTCTGAACGTTGCTGCTTTTGCTTCACAACCAGCACTGCATAAATGGGGATTTCTTAAAGGTGTCCAGTCTTGCTCCCTTTAGTGAACAACCGCATAAGAAACCTTGAAGACATTTCCACTCAGTGTGGGTTTTTGAACGGATGCCCAGCAAAAGAAAGAAGGTTTATTAAAAGGTATTGAAAGAGAGATTGGACACCAAGAATACAGGAGATAGGTTTACAAAACGCGTGGGAACAATCGAAACACTAGAGATGAGTGTTGGCAATGATGGCAAATAACAGTATCTTGATAACATTTCACAGAGATCTTTAAGTTGCACGAGGGACTCTTCAAATGACTTCTTTATTAAGCATCTGTAAGTTGGCAAAACATTTCAGTAACTTCTTAGTTTTAAATCGCTCAGTGTGCCAGCTCTTCACGTGGAAAGTAAGAACCGCCAAGTGAGGTGTAAGTACAGAAATGAGTCCTTACTTGCATCACTGTTGCTAGTATGTTATTTCAGAAGTGTTGTGAGCGTCCAGGAGTATTTCCTGTGTTTGTCAGCCTCCACCGTGTCTACCTGGGTCAATCTGTAGATC